GGAAAACTGCAAGGGGAAAGGAGAAATCCGAGCAGAGAGGTGACCCCTAAGCAGACAGCCCTATCCCTCCTAGAGAGCGTTCCTGGCAAACCTCGGCGCACTAGGAATCCTACTCCTTTCCCCTCCAGTCCAAGCCCTAGGATTTCACTCCCTACCCTTTGTTACTGATCACCCAAAGCACCAAAAAGTTCTTCGAAGGGCCGCTGAAGTCACTAGGACCCACAGAAAAGCCTCATTCCCTCGTTGGGCCCTAAAGTCCAAAAGAGCGCAGGGATCTCGTCGCCGGAGCTCATTCGCCTACCGCCCGATCTACAGCCAACAGGACGCCAGAGCAGCGCGTCCCACCGACCCGCGCCGAGTCACCGGAGGGAGCCGCAGTGTTCTCCCGAAGGGCAGGAACGCCAGGAGTCCTCGAGCCTCAAGAGTCTCCATCCCGCGACTTCCCAAGAATCCCACTGCCCGCCGCCGGACGGGAGAAAAGGGAAACGCCGCGAGGACCTGACTGCACCGAGCGCGGCACCAGGTGATGTCAGCGAACTCGCCGCGGGGCGCGAGCGCGGCGGAATTGGAAGCCAACTATACCGAGGTGGGGAGGCGGGGAGGCCGCTTTTTCTTACCGCGGTCTGCCCCTCCGGCTGCACGTCCACCAGGGTACACCAGCCCCGCGTCCCGTTCATCTTCTTCCCGCGCGGCTCGCAGTACCCAACCTACAGCTCTGCCGTCCGGCTCCAGCTAGGCGGCCGCGCGCGGAACCGCCCCCCTTGTATAGGCGCGTCGGGGGCGGGGCCTGGCTATTAGACACGCCCCTGAGGCGCCGTTCGCCAACGACTGAGCGAAAGCGCGGAGTGGGCGTGGCCTAGAAGCCTCAGGACCCGCCCATCTGCCCTACGGGGATTTACATAAAGGTGGGGCTTGGGCGCTAGCTACCAGGGGTAATTTAACTCAAGTTTTGTCTAACATGTGTGGTTGTACCTCAACCATGCTTCCTTAGTTTTGCTGTCCCCTCCTTTCAACGCCAAGATCAGTGTTGGTGAGAGATAATCACCCAGCATACCCTAGAGAACGAGTTGGAAAAAAGCGTCCAGCCATTCTCCTCTCCCCACTTAAAGGCCTGTCTATAGGCTTTGTGAAGCTGAGCAAATTTCCTCCACCATAGAAATGCAGACATCAAGGGCCAGCTCATTCAGACTGGCCTAAGCCAGTCTGGCAGGTGCCCTTCCCTGGCAGGAGGCCCAGGCCAAAGTCAGAGCCAGCTTGGCTCTGGGTGGGGCTTGTTTTGCAGAAGCTATTATACCAAAGCTGCCCTGATAGGGTCAGAGAGGTGGGACGTGTCCTTAAAAGGAATTGTATTCTTGAGAAAGGATGAGTCTCGATTTCTCCAGTGGCATTTGCTCCCCAAGCCCAGGTTAGCATCTTAAGGGTCTGAAAGAGAGCATAGCCATCCAAGACCTTGGAGCCTCTTCCCAGCCTGCTCTCTGCAGGTGGCTGCTCCATTGGGCTATAGTCCACATGGAAGGTAAGCAGGAGGAAGTCTGATCCACTCTTGATTGGGCAGTGCCCCTGAATCTAGCAATAGGCTCTGGTGAACAGCCAGCTCCCTCTTCAAGGCAACACAAGGACAGGGATGACAGAAACTTCCCTACCTCCCAGGTAGGGACTGGGTCCCATGCCAGGTAGGAATGGATGTGTGTCTTTGTACCTGGGAGGTGAATGCTGGGGATATCCTCTGCCCTAAGGGAAAAAAAAAACAAGTTCTGGTGTCTCCTCTAACTCTCAAAGAAGACATCTACTGACCTTGCTAGTCCCAGAAACTTTAGAAGATGGAGGTGTTATAAACACTTCCCAATTCCCTGGGTTCCATCTGATCTGTTGTAAAGGGCCTCTAAAAAGTGAGGCAAAGAAAACTCCAGCTTCAGCCTCTAAATTGTGCAGTTAAATGGTTTCTTAATAATATGTGGACCTCCAAATAATTGAGGAAAAAGAATGAGAAAACAAGCCAAGGATTTCAAGATAGATATATAATTTTAATATTTAATTTAAAATAAAAATCAAGGCTGGATTGGTTTGGGAGAAAATATCTGATTTGCAGAAAATTTTTTAAATCATGAAATTACAAGTCATTGGTTAGAACAGCCTTCTTCTTCCCCCAGGCTCTTCACAGAGCCTGCTTAGGAAATGAGGTGAATCATCTCCCTTACCTCCTCCCCTTTGGGCTCACCCCAAAACCCAAAGGAGGAATAGATCCTCCATTGCCTCTTCCCGTTTCTACCAAGTGTCAGCCTCTAGCCCCAGTTAGGAAGCCCTGTATCAGGTCCAAGCTCCTGAGACGAGGGTCCTTCGGTTCCCCACTGAGGATGGGCATATCTGGTCAGAGAAACCACAAGAAAGGCTACAGGGAGGACTGAAACCTTTGCTTTTCAACTCGTGTTGACAGTTATCAGGGTTCCCAGGTACAACCACCTTATAAACCCATCCATAGTCACAGAGGGAGAGGAGGAAGGATGGAAACCCTGAGCAGAACCAGGCCCCAGCATCTCATTATGGCGCTACCAAAGTCCCTCTCAGAGGGGCTTATCGGCAGAGAAGCCAGTAGCTCTCTCGACCAGTCACTGGGGCTGCAGGAAAGGCTGAGGGCCCCAGATGGGAAAAGGCTGGTCCTTGGAGAGGTATGAATGTGCAGGTATAAAAGGCAAGAAGAGCATCCTTATGTCCTCGCTGTGGCTAAGGCACTGAGAGGAAAGAAGGAATTTAGGAGTGGTGAAGATGGAAAGGGAAGGAGAAAGGGTCTCCTGGATCCACTTGCTTGGGGAAGACAAAAAAATAGGACTGGAGGGCAGTGGGGGCTACCATATGGGCCCCATGACTGTGCAAAAAGGAGCATTGAGGAGCAGGTAGAACCACGCCAGCGTGTCCATTACTTATAACATTCCCCTCACCCTGCTCCAGAGTGGGAGGAAAGTAGGTTACAGGAGTCAAGGGAGCAGAATCACCTAGGGTATTTCCCTGAGCCTAAGGGTTAAGGGCTAAAGAAATAAAGCTTTACATACATGGCAATTTCTCTCCCTGTCCTGCTCAATCCCCCTCAATCTATATGCTGACCATCCTGCCTCTGTAAGAGAGGAGAGGGAGGGCTCGGCACTTAAGGGCTCAGGTGGTCTAAAATACCCACTCCCCCAGAGGAAAAGGAAAGTCCATCTACCACCTTAGCGCTGATACCCTTTTATCACCATCACTCACACCCCTCCCTGTCTCAGGTCTGAATGATTGGGTCCCCTGCAAGAATGAGGAATCTGAGGCAGGGCAGAGCAGGGCTGGCCAGGACAGGCCTCAAGCCGTGGTTTCTGGGCCTTGTGGACCTCGAACTAACAGGAGCTGGTCTGCAGGTTGCTCTCCGTAAGCAGTGATGCGATGGAGGAAGGATCATACACACTGTCGAATTCCTCATCTGAGCTCAGCCCTTCGTGTTGGAGGGTTGACTCAGCAGCTGAGCGGGAAGCTTTGCGCCTGAGTCAAAGAGAGGAATGAATACTGGTAATGGAGGGAGGTAGAAAGATTGAGATAGCCACATTTTTCATGCTAAAGAGACTCCCAATTCTTCTAAGACCTAAAGCTACTCCCAAGATCCCCTGCTAATCAGAGATTTGGGGAGATGGGATATAGAATGGGAGCTGGTATACTAAAAGGTAATCATACTGGCTTCCAGCCAGAAAGTCCCATCTGAGAGATCCTCCTCTCCCTAAATATCAGCCAGGAGAGCCCATCCCCTTCCTGCTCCACTGTCCCAATGGGGCAGGGGCAGAAAAGCAGCCCATACCAGGAGTCCTTCTCCAGAGCTTTGATTCGATTCTGGAGCTGTTCATTGACCTCATGCTGCTCCTCCAGCTCACGCTGGGCCTTCTTCCTCAGGCCGTCCAGTCGCTCAATTTCCTCTTCTGCTTCATCCACCTGCCGCTTCAAAGCCTTCACCCTCAGGCTTAGCTGGGCAAGATATCAAGTTCCCACATTAGAAAAGAGTATGCTGACACCGTGACCTAAGACCCTCCCCTATAGCAATTTTGACAAGGGATTGCTGCTCGTAGAAAAATGTTGTGACCATGGGCAAGTTCCCTAACCTCACAGGTTTGTCTGGGGGATTAAATAAGTTAATACATGTGTAATACTTAGAAAGAGAAGCTAGCACATCATAGGCACTCAACACAAGTGCTTCCTATAACTCCTCTAATCCAGTTCTTTCAGTCAAGTCTCTGTTTCTATACAAGAAAAGTCTAAGTTTGGAAGACCTGTGAAATGGAGCCAATCTTGGCCTTCAAGCAAACGCAGTATGTACTGGCCGCAGAGTTGCTCGGCCTGGCTGTGGTCCTTACCTGGTCTTTCTGGTCATTGACATGCTGCCGCTCATCATCAATCTGGATGGACAGCTCTTTAACCTTTCGCTCCAGTTTTCGGTTGGTGGACTGCAGGACTGTCTTCTCCCTAAGATGGTGGGGTAGGGGAATGTCTATGGTGGTCACCATTCCTAAAGGAATCACCTACTTGGCCCCCTAGTGCCTCCAAGGACTCTTCTCAGTCATGAGCCCCACCATTAGACTGGGGAGGATCCAGGGCAGATCCAAAGAACTGGGGAGATAGACAGCATCTACATTTTAGAATTTCTGCAACTCTCTATAGCAAGAAAGAAGTTCTCCCAAAAGATCAGGCCAGGTGGGCCATGTCTGAGGTAGAAGATGGAGGAGGTCCCAGAGGAGAAAAGCCCAGAGGGAGAAAGGAAATATGGGTTCATCTCACCTCTCTTCAGCCTGCAGACGCTCCTGCAACTCCCGATTCTGGGATTCAAGCTGAGAGAGGCTGGTGTTGGGCTTCTGGAAGCTTTCTGAGCTGGCCAACCGGCTCTTCAAGTCCTTGTTCTGAGAAGGACAGGAAGCCTCCACAGTTAGCACTCTCCTTCTGATCCCTTCCATGGTCATTCTACCTACCTCTTGTTGTCTGCCCCCAACTCCCCACCCTTCCCCCTCACCTGTCTCTCCAGGGAGATCTTGTCACACTCCAGGTCCTGCCGAGCAGATCTCTCCTGCATGAGCTCTGTCCTTAGCTGGTCTATCTAGGGGATGGGCGAGAGGACCCAGACTTGGGGAGGGCTGTACATGAACCATCAAGCTGAACTAAGTGAGGCAGAGTAACTGTAGGATGCTCTCTGAACCCTGAATCCAGAGGTTCTGTCTCAGGGGTAGACACAGATGGAGAGTAAGGAAGGGGTTACCTGGTCCCGGCCGCGATTCACCCTGTCGGTCAGCAGCTCCACAGCGTTCCTCTCCTCATCTAACTCTCCCTCCAGCCTTGAGACTTTTTCCTGTGGTGAAGGGACAATAGGTTAATTTTGCTCCACATGCTGGACACCAGAATGACAAACTCCGATCAGGACCCTCTCAAAGCCCAGCCTCCAGACTTTTCTCTCTCACACAACCCCATAACCTGTTGGTCTTTGCCTCTGCCCAGAGCCACCACAGAGCTTGTGCCCTCTGCTGACCAGGTGTGGCATCAAGGGGAAAGAGTGGGCCTGCTCTGGTCTTGGCCCCTAGGCAGGATGACAGACCTCAGAATCTATCCCTCCGTGGGGCAGCCCATATTTCCCTAGTGGGAAAACAGAAACCAAAGTGCCCAAGCAAGGCCAAGATGGAGAGAGTCAGACCCTGAAGCACCAGGGTACAGACTGGAGGAGTACACTCAAGCCAGTACCATGTAGAGGCTCAGAGTATGGGCTCAGGGGCCAGCTGGTCTAGGGCTGAAAATCAGATATACTGCTTCCCAGCAGAGGGGCCATGGAGTTGCTTAACCTCCCTGTGTCTCAGTTTTCTCATCTACAAAACGGAGAAAACAAGACGCCCTACCCCACAGGGATATTCTGAGGATTAAATGAGTCAAGTGCTTGGCACAAAGCACAACACAGAAGTGTTTGCCACTGCTGCTACTATCATTATTATTATTATTATTATTATTATTGACAGACAGCAAACTGAAGACCATCAAACTGTTCACTCTAAAGGGGGGAAGCCACTGCTCAACTCCTGCCAACTGCTGCCATGCAGAAAATGCAGGACTTGAAGGTCAGTGTTACCAATATACCAAATGTATAAAAGCCAGATCCAAATTTTTATGTGACATCCATAAGTTTCTAAACATTGGTATTTAATTCAAAGTTCTTTAAAACACTGCAGTCAAACAAAGTCCATCAGCTGTGAGCTGCCAGTTTTTGATCCCTAGTAGAGAAAGAAGTTTGGAGTGTCCTGGCTCCTTTGCCCACAGAAGTCCTACCTGTGCCAGGCCCCAGGCTCCCTCTCCCTCCCACCACCATAGGCCACTACACAAAGTCCCCACCTCAAGGCCCTTGAATTGCCGGGTCCTGTCATCCTGGGAGCGCTTTTTGTTCTCCGCCTCTTGCTCCAGTTCCTTCAGCCGCTGGGCCAGCAGTTCCTTGTCCAGACGGGCTGCGTCCCGATCTGCCTGGGAATCCTGCAGGGCCTGCCGCAGTCTCTGGGTCTGAGCAGAAGGGAAAATGCAACAGCTCAGAGAACTAAGGTGGGGACTGAGGGGTGGGGAAGTTCACAATTCTTTAGAATTGCCAGTGCATGGTGATAATAAAAAGCAGACTGATTTTTAGTCCATTTTATTTATTGCTTAAAAATTATCTACACAAACTGGAATCACCTGAGGAATTTTTAGACTACTGATCCTCAAGGATTATGATTTAAATGATACAAGATGCAGCTTGAGCATTGGAATTTTTAAACATCTTCCCAGGTGACTCTAATGGGCAGCTGAGTTTGAAAATCCCTGCTCTGCAGATAACACAACCCCTAGGGTGGACCACTCCCTCTACCCTCCCCCACCTTGGTATGTTACTCTAAGTGGTTAGACCTAAACCAGGGTCTTCCAGGATTCCTGGGCTAAATGTTTAATTAAGAGGCAATGACCTTCAAACCAAGGACACTAGGAGGGTTCCCACCCTCCTGCCACTTAAGCTCCAACCTCATCCTGAAGCCGGCTCAGACCCCCAGAGGTCTTCTCAGCTTCACTGGCCCAATCCTTGGCCTGGCGCTGGGCATCTGCCACCTCCCGCCGGGCCTTTTCCTTGTAATCCTCCAATTGGACCTGGAGCTGCTGCAGGGCTTGCTTAGAGTCGTCCCCAATCTGTTCCAGCTGAGACACACAGAAAAGAGTGTTTTTAGCACCCAACTCTTTAACAGATGCCTCTGTTTCTTCTCTGGGCCCAGGCTCCCAAGACTCTCCCAGAGCCTCCTTCGTGCCAAAGCAGCCCTCCCTTGCTCTGTCCTGGGCCTAGGACCCTGGTATGGCTACTAGTAATGTACAGATTGCCTAGGTTCAAATCCTGGCTCTACCACTTACTAGCTATGTGACCACAGGCAAGTTACTTATCCTCTCTGGGTCTCAGTTTCCCGTCTGTAAAACGGGATAATAATAGTACCTACATCTACATCACAAGGTTGCTGGGAGAATTACATTAGTTAATTATGTAAAGTACATACAATAGTGCCTGATACAGAGTAAACTTTAAATGACTTTATTTCAGCAAACCCAAAATTCCAGTGATAATAAGGTATACCACTAAGAAAAATTTGCCAACTGAACTACAACATACCATCAGTGATAAGCCAAAACTCAACTTCAGAGATGATAAAATGTACATTTCAGAATTGATGAACTATACTAGGTGTTTGCTCTACTTTTATAAAGAGATTAGGAGGACAACCTTAGCTGAAAACAGCAATTTATTTCTTTTTCTTCCTTTCTCCTTCCCCTACCCCAAATATAAAATTCTCCCAATGAAGATGCTTATGTTTAGGTCTTAAAGACTTCTAAGGGAGAATTCCAGGAAATATTTCCAAGGATCAAAACAAAAAAGGAATGGGGTGTGCGGGGAAGGGCAAAAGCACAGAGGGGAGGTAGGAAGAATGCCACTCTCTGAAGATTTGACCTTGGCCTCTCCAACAATGAACTTGAGGAAAGCAGACAGCACACATTCTGACCCACATCCACCCTGTCCCCCCAGGTAAGCTTCTGAATGAGCTAGGCTTCTTCCTGAGCCCAGGCCGCCCCATGCCCCACCTCCTTGTTCAGTCGGTCCACAGTCCTGTCCAGCAAGCGCTTCTGCTCTTCCAGCTCAGCCTTGCCCCGCCGGAGCACCTCCCGCTGCTTCGCCTCCTCCTCAAGGGCTCGGTTTAGTGCGTGCTGCTCCTGCCCCATGCGGGCCAGCCCACGCTGGGCCTCATCCAGCCGCACTTCCAGTGCCCGCTTGGCTGCTGCCAGGCTCCCTTCCTCTTCCTGAGCTGCATTCAGGGCCTCCTCTAGCCGCTGCTTCTCTGCCTGGGACAGTGGGGTTGGACCAAGAGAAGGCAAAGCTTGGGCTCTAGCCATTTGGAGGTGAGTAGATGGGAGAGAGGAGGAAGAAACGGGTGAGCAATGGAAGTAGGCTCAGATGAAGTAGAGAAAAAATCAAGACACAGAACATGCAAAGGTTGGGAGATAAGAGACAAAAATGCCAGTGTAAAGACTGCGACGTTCACACCAAAACACACTCCAGGAAATAAAGCCAGGGTGAACAGAGGGTTTGGAGGCACATGGAACCACACTAAAGGCAAAATAAAAGTGATGGCTGAGTCTTTACCCAGGGACTAGAAGAGAAAGAATCCCAAAGAAGCCAACGAGGTCACCAGGAGCACTGACCTCTAGCCGCTGCACCTTGTCCCGAAGCCGTGCCTCCGCCACTTCCCCACCCTCCGCCAGGCCTCGAGCTTCCTTCAGCTGCTGCTCCAGACCCAGGATGCGCCGTCGGAATTCGTCATTTTCCTCCTGGGTCTCCCGAAGCGTTGTTTCCACTGCTGCCCGACGTTGCCCCAGCACTGCTGCCTCTGCCTCTGCTGCCATCTGAGCCTGCGGCCGTTCAGAGTGGCGGCTCAGACCCCATGGCTCAGGGTTACTGACTATTCCCAGGAAAACCACCCCAAAAAGAGGCAACAAGAACTGGACTGAAAGTAGGGGAGTGCCGCCAACCAGAGGCTTCCCGGAGACCCCCACCCCTACAGAGATGCAGTGGGAATCACCAGGTAAAGACCGGCCTCCCCCTGCCAAATCTTGGCTGCTTCAACCACACACACACCTAGGACCAAGGCGCTGGTCTGTACATACCCATGACAGGTAATTTTCCACGCCCTCTGGCTCCTCAGCCCTCCAGACCCCTCAGCCTCCACCTCCTAAGTCCTGTGCCCACTCCCCTTGCCTTGGAAGCCTCTTCACAGTCCTGTCTCAGTTGCTGGAGGGTCTTTTGTAGCTGGACGTTCTGCTGTTCCAGCCCCCGGCCTCGATCAGCCTCGACCCTCAGCTGCTTCTCCAATTCCCGCTCCCGGTGTCGTCCAGCCACCTCCTGGCTCTGCAGCTCTGCCCGCAGCTCCTTAAGTTCCTCTTGTGTCCGGCGCAGCTCCTAGAAGGGAAGGGGAATGGTGACAGGGCAGAAGGCCAGCCTGGGATACCAGAATGTGGAGAAACTGAAATCTCATACATTGCTGGAGGGAATGTAAAACGGTGCGGCTACCTGGTGCAGTTTCTCAAAAGGTTAACCATGGAGTTACCATATAACCCAGCAATTCCACTCCTCGGTATATGCCCAAGAGAACTGAAAACATATATTCATTATTCCTTATAGTCAAAACAAAGGAATGACCCAATGTCCATCAACTGGTGAACAGACCAATAAAATGTAATATATCCATATGATGGAATATTATTCAGTCATAAAAAGTGTTGATAATTGCTAAGACATGAGCAAACCTTGAAAATCATTACAATAGGTGAAAGAAACCAGACCTTGAAAAGTCACGTTATAGGAGTCCACTTAAATGTAATGTCCAGATAGGCAAATCCACAGACAGAAAGTAGATTAGTGGTTGCTAGGGGGTGGGGAGAGTGGCTGCTAATGGATATGGGGCTCTTTTGGGGGTGATAAAATGTTCTGTAATTTGAGAGTGGTGATGGTTGTACAGCTTTGTGAATATACTTAAAACCACTAAATTATACACTTAATAAGGGTGAATTTTATGGCATAAGAAATAAATCTCCATTAAAAAACTATGTGAAGTGAGAGTAGATGAGGGTATGGATAAAAAAGGATTGGCTATTAAAAAATATTTTGAAAACCAAAATATTTGACACAATAGATAGTGGTGCTGCCTTGATTTCTTTTTAAAAAAATTAAAACTTGAGCTCTGGTTCTAAATCTTTAGCTATTAGCTACTTCTGAAATTCAGAAAGTACCATAATTAGGCTGAAAGGTTACATAACACATAGTAAGTCTTCAATGTGAGAAACTAACAGAACTAATTACAAAGAAAAAGAAAAAATAGCAGTGTATGGTCTATATTGAACTGGGTTAGTCTGTTTTCTTAATGTATAGTTTGTTTATTGGCTAAATGCTAATAAAATACACTTAATGTATGTGATAAATGAAACATTAGTTATTACTTTTTAGCTTTATCCAACATAATATATCAACTGAGATTGTCCAGAGGAATGTCCAGGTTCACTATGTCAGCTAATACAGTGAACAGATTTCAGACTACCCTTGATATTTGTTCACTTCATAGCAATTATTTAAATTAAATATCTTAAAATTTTAAGAGTACTTTTGATTTCATAACCACCCAAAGTATATTTGGTTAACATTTATTTTGCTTTTCTCCACCAAATTTTTTTTTTTAAAATATATCTTTATTGATTTCAGAGAGAGGACGGGAGAGGGAGAGAGATAGAAACATCAATGATGAGAGAGTCATTGATCGGCTGCCTAGCCCGCAACCCGGGCACGTGCCCTGACCGGGAATCGAACCCCGATTGCCTGGATCCTAGGTAGACGCTTAACTGCTGAGCCACGCCCGGTCGGGCTCCACCAAATATTTTGTGGTAAGCTCAGGCATTTATGTATTTGGAAAATCATCATTTAAAAAAATGGTTACCTTGATTACAACTAGGCAGTCTTATAGGAAGGCATGATAAATAAGTATTGATTAATACTTGGTAACTGAGCACCTATTATGTATAGCACTTGAAACCAACGTAGTGAGTCAAAGAGATGCAGGCCTAGGATACTCAGGAGGCCATAAATGCCAGTTCCCTAAAATAAAATTATGTTCTCAGTTTCTAAATCACCCAAAATAATTAGTTGCTTTCTTGTCCTTCATATACTAGGAATATGAAATTATTTGTGTGTTCACTTCAATTTTATGCCCTTAACATTTATGAAATATCCATATATGATAAAACATTTCATTCTGTGTCTAGATTCTATATTGTCTAAGCAGCTTTCAAATTACCATTTGGCTTCCCATCTAGGTCAGCTGGCCATGCCAACATGAGTATTCCAGTCTATGTGACAAACAATTCTCATTGTGGGTAAATAAACTGGTATTCTAACTGGAAACATTTGTTTCATAAATGTAGTTGATGAGTACCCTCTGAGAAACAGAGCAGCTCTTGCTATGTGACCAAGTTAGGTTTCCAAGCTTGCAAAAAATGACCCTGTTTCACAAACCCACCTAAAATGCTGCTACCCATGAGGTCTCTTGATAAATTACTCAACCTGGACACTGAGGGCCCTTTCCACTAAAAACTTCTATACTCAGTGAGACCAGCCTTCAACCCTGCTGGATCAAAGACTGTGTGCTGGGAAGAAATAAGGCCGAGCAGGCAGGATGGGACCTGCAAACCAAGCATGAGGGGGATAGCCACATTCGTGTGGCGACCCTCTTGGATAGGTGAGGCAGGCTCCTACCACCCCAACATGCCCTACTGCCCCCCAACTCCCAAATACCTTCTTGAGCTCCTCCACCTGGCGAGGATCTCCAGCACCAGCTCGGGCCTGCCCTAATTCCCTTTGTAAGGCCTCTATCTTCTCCCCAAGCTCCTCTTCCATCTCCTCCTTCTCCATACGCAGCTGCAGCAGTCTGGGTCCAGACAGGTGAATTAAAAGGGAAAAGGGACAGGGTCAGACCTCCTGCCTGGGAGAGGTTAGCGGGACAATGAAAACCACCTCCCTGGAGGCTAATACACTGGGTACCCAGTCTCAGGATGGAAGAAAGTGGATATAAAAAAGAGCATTAAAAACATCTCGCATCGATGTTTCTCTCTCTCCCCCCACTCTCTCTGAAAAAGCACTGGAAAAAATATCCTCAGGTGAGGATTAACAACAACAACAACAACAAAAGAGCAGCTTGAGAAATGGGAGAGTAGAGAGCACAGCATGGGTGGAAAGGAAGTAGGATATGTATAGGAATCATGGATAAGTGTCCCTGGGAGAGGGGCAAGGTCCTTACTCTTGCTTGGTGGCTCTAAGCTCCTCCTTGTTCTTCTGAAACATGTTCTGCCAATGCCCTGTCTCCTCTGAGGTCTCCTCCAGCTCCCTCTGCAGCCCCCGCACCAGGGCAGACATCCTCTGCTTCTCAGCCTCTAAGGCTGCATGGTCCTAGGGAAGGGGAAAGTCAGGGGACCAGGAGGCTCAGACAGGAGAGCTCGCTTCAAACCAGTGTGAGTATGTAGAAGGGCAGGCTCAGGCCCAGAGGGCACCAGAGGCCCTGGCACCCGGTGAAACCTGGTGCGATGCTAACAGAAGGCTCTGACCCCCAAGTCACAGTCTACCCCACCATTATCTACAGGAAGCCTCCCCCCATTATTTCCCCATGGGGTTTTGATTACACACCCTCTGGCACTTCTGGCCTGCACACTCTCTTCCACCCTTATAAGTTTCCTGACCAAGGTTTTCATTACATCTCAGGTGTGTCTTTTTAGGGGGAGTTCCAGTTACAACCATGAAAAGTCCAAAAACACCAAGGCCTCTGGACAGCCCCCTTTCCAGCCCCTGCTCTGTTCACATGCCTGGGTTGCATCTTGCATGCTCCGACGAAGCTGCTCTGCATCTCTCTGGTACTGCAGTCGGACATTCTCCACCTCCTGGTCACGGGAGGCCACCTCCTCCTTCAGGGCCCCCTTCAGGGCTGTCAATTCCCGCTCCCTCAGCCTCAGCTGCTCCTCTACCCGCTGTTTCCCCTCCAAGACCTCTTCAAGAAGTTCCCGGGTCTCTAACAGGTCCTGGGGAAAGTGAAGGCGCAAGTACAGAGGTAACCACCTGTTAGGATCCACCTGTCTAGTCATTCATTCAGCCAGCCAATCAAAACATACTTACTGCACCCTGTAATCTGTTAGGCATGGTATGAGGCACTCTCTGCCCTCCAAGACGCCTTGTTATGATAAAGGAAACCCACCATTCTGAGCTCTTTTGGGTCTGTCTGAAAGCATACTAAAGGGTACTCCCATACTTTGAGGATGCTCTAGGTGAAAGGAAGGAGAGTCTGGAATACCCAACCCAGTTCCCTACCTTCATTAGTGCTTCCTTAGCAGGCTCGGGACCCTGGGCATGTTTCAGCTTGTCCCGCAGCTCCATCACCTGGGTCTCCAGCCCATGTCGTACCCTTTCACCCTGGTCCAGGAGGAGCTTCATGTTCTGGAGCCTAATAATTAACAGATGACATTATTGAGCACTATGTGTCAGGCAGTTTTCTGAACACTTTATATAAATTCATTTAAACTACCTTTAAGTTTTTGTTCAAATCTTAATAAGATCTTCCCTAACTACCTTACTTAATACTGTAACCTGCTCCCCCACAACCTGACCCTCCTGGTCTGCTATAACGTACTCTACTTACCACCTCCTCACATATGAAAAGTTTACTTAAGAATATGTTTATTGCTTACAATCTGTTCCCTCTCACTAGCAACTATGCTTCTGAAGAGCAGGGCTCTTCAACTGTCTGGTTCACTGATATACCCCAAGACTCTAGATCAGTGCCTCACACACAACATTCATTACAAAAACATCTGCTGAATGGATGACTGAATCCTCACAACAGTCCTGTGAGGTAGGTATTATCATTAACCCCATCTTACAGATGAAAAACCTGAGGCACAGAGGCACACCAGGTAGCCTAACTCATGCACCATGATCATTACTGATAGAGAAGGTAAAGAGAGAGGTCCTACCTAACTTTATACCATCTCTGTCTGCCTCTTTCAGCTTCTGGAGAATTCCCAGTCTCCCTTGGCCTTAGGGCAGTCTCTAACTCTGACCTAAGCCCCATGCAGCCCCACATGCAACATCAGCTGCACTCACTCCTTAGTGCTCTGCTGGGCCTCCCCCATCCTCCTCTCCAGCAGCTGCTGCAGTCGGCTGCACTCTTCCACCTTCTCCGCCAGCTGCCGCTCCAGCCCAACCCGGGATGGCTCTAGTTTCTGCCGCTTCTGGAAAAGGAAAGGAAAGCAGGTTGAGTAGGGAAAGCCTCTCAGAATGATGGGAATTCTAACATTTATTGACACTCACTATATGACAGGCACTGTACTAGGGAACTTACGCAGATTATCTGCATTTAATCCTCATAATAAGCCTTGGTATTTGTGATGGTTTAAAATACATCCATAAATTTTTTGACATTCCTTTCAAAAGGGGAAGCCTCTCCCCTTCAGTACGGGCTGGACTTAGGGACTCTCTTCTAACAAGTAGAGAAGTGGGAAATGACATCTAGCTTCTGAGACTAGGTCATAAAAAGGCATCGAAGCTTCCTCCTTACCTTCGCTTTTATTTCACTCACTCTGGGGGAAGGTAGCTGCCATATTGTAAGGGACACTCAGGCAACCCTATGAAGAGGTCTACAAAGCAAGGAACTGAGGCCTCCAACCAACAGCCATAGCATGAGCCATTTTAGAAGTAGATCCTCCAATTCCAGTCAAGTCTTCCAATGGCTGTAGGTCCAATCAATATCTTGACTGGAACCTCATAAAAGACCCTGAGACAGAACTGCCCAGCTAAGCTGCTCCAAAATTCCGGGCCCTCAGACACTGGGAGATATTTGCATTAAGCTGTTCAGTTTGAAGGTAATTTATTACACAGCAATAGATAACTAATACAGTTCAATTATTATCCCCACTTTACAGTCAAAGGAACAGAGGTTTAGAACAGTTAAAGAACTTGCCCAAGGTGTTACAAAGTCAACAATTAAGGGTACCAAGATTTGAACTGTTAGTTTGATGCACAGCTCACTATTTAACTATGACACTACACTACTTTCCAGAAAACAAAAGGAGTTACAATCCAACACTTACTGAGCACCAACAATATACAGGCAGTACTGTAAGAGTTGGAAGCAGTATTTTAAAGGGGGTCGGGGGGGAGTGTGGAGTATATAGGCTTTAGAACAACATTAACCCGAGTTTTTAAATGTCTTCTCTGCAACTTACTACCTTGAGCAATTCACTTAACCTCTCTGACCTTCAATTTTCTCATCATAAAAAAAGTCCAGGATGCCTAGTTTTATACTATAATTACTACACAGTATCCAGGACAGCACCTACTACAAAAACTATACTCAGTAAATAACAGCTACTATTATCGCCATCATTATTATGATAATGAAAAGAATTGAGGTAAGTAATTTGCTCAAGATTTATACAGCCAGTAAGTGGCAGAGCCAGAATGGGAACTGCCAAAGGAAATGGAATGAAAAGTAGCTGGACTCCTGATGAATGTGTTCCTCTCTCAGCTCTAGAGAAGCTCAGAGGCCCTTGCTGGGACTAGCACACACTCTTGTCTCACAGGACATGAGTGCTTGTTCCATTGTTTGGAGGAGCCAGTCCAGGCCAAGGTTTTTTCCCCTGTGGTTCTTCATCCCTCCTGTGCCTCTAACCTCTCCTCACCTTCACCTCTTCATCCAGCTTTTGCTGTAGCTCCTCCACTTTTCGAGTGAGTTCACCCTGCCCTGCCAGAGCCTTAGCAGAACCAGAAGAAGCCATCTGCCAGAGACATGAAGGGAAGGAAGTGAGTGCACGTCCAGATCCTGAGGCCCAAAAGGCCCTAACCCTGACCCTTGCTCCCAACCACAAAAAGGCCACTTACCACCAGAGGCTGCATCTGCTCCAGCACCAAACTGACTTTCCTCCTCACAGACAGTTCACTTTCTGGGCTTCTGGAGGGTAAAAAGGAAGGTTAGGGGAGGAAAGAGGTGGCAGAGATGAGGAAAGTTAAGGTAAAGAGCACGGAGGATGGGAAAGGAAGCCAGAAGGAAAAGGAGGGAGGCCCCCACTCACCCCTCCCTCAGGATGCCATAGATGGTGGCCTTCACATGGTCCACACTGCCTGGTGGGGTTGCCTCCTGCTGATCTCGAAGAAGGTCTGGAGTTGATTTGAGCTGCAAAAAAAGTACACCCAAAGAAATGAGAATATTAAGCCAGAAGCCTATATGGGGTTCAGATGGACCAGAAGTAGTAATTAGAAGACAAGACCCTTCAAGCATGAACAAGCCTGAAGTGGGGTAAAGAGGCAACACTGCTGAAGCCTGAGCCACAGATCAGGGAGAGGTCCAAGCAGGATACACCTCTTACTATTGTTACAAACCAGCTTTTCCTCAACAAGCAGATCTCAACCAGCTGTGAGCTGTGCCACAAGTAGTTTTGCACTAATGACAATCAATGTATTAGAGTTTGTAAATGACTTACTATTAGAATGGGCTTCACTTTGTCTCACTCCCCCACTTATTTGCATTCCTGAGTGAGAGACAAAGGTGGGAGTTTTGGCAAGAACACCAGGGAGCTGCTCATATCCTCCAAGCCTGCCTTATGCGTGCTACTGTCCTAGTAAATGCTAGTGACTGAGGCACAATTAATGGCTGGGCAATGACAAGTAACTGTCGATGCTTGTGAATGGTGATTTTATAGTTAACTCTATTTCCTTTACAATTTTGCCCATGGAAATCTTGTCCATGTGGATGGGAAAAGTGAAAGACAAAAGGTAGAGACTTTCTGCCTTCAGTTATTTGAACCAGCAAGGGGTCCCAGGGCTGGTGGGTCAGAACTGACCAGAAGGGGCCAGGGTTTGAGAGCTGCAGAGGGGTGGGGACTGACCTGCAGCATTGCAGGGTCCTGTGTTTTTCCTCGTGGCTCCTCAAAACTCTGAAGGACCCAGTCCTGGGTCTGACGGGAACGGCTAAAGCCACTGAGAGGGCTCTGGCTCTGTACTGGTTGTTTCAAGCTGCCCATGTGGTTGCCGTGCTTTGTGCTAGGGCTCCAGTGGGTGGGAGACCGCCGTTCCCGTTCCTCAAGGGTGTCCCGTGGGAGCCGGTTGTCCAGGCTCTGGCTCCGCTTGCGCTGTTCAGGGGGCACTGAACGCATGCGGCGGCCAGTCCGGCCCCGGGCCTGGCCCCCATGGTGACTGTCAAACTTGTTGATGAGTGAGTCCACTGAAGAGAGATGAGCAGTATCAATGGTGCTCCCTGGGGAAGCTCCTTGGGGGACCAGCTCCAGCATGCTGGTGCTCCTGTTGCCAGGATCCATAGGGGCAGGGCCTGTCAGCGAGGCCTGGGACTGGGAGCGGAGGAGTCGTCCATTCCAGTGGGGCCCAGGCTCCTCATCAGACATGCTGTCCTGCAAGCGGCCAGAAAACTGCTCGGCCCGAGAGTAGGATCTCTCAGGGAGTTCGGAGTCGGAGCTCAGAGCTCCCGGGGCGCCTTGGTTGTTGGGTCCCTTGATTTGGACCCCAAAGGAGTCGCCACCTTTCTCCCCGCTGTTGAGCACCACAAAGGGCTGTCCAGCGATGCCCTGCACACGCACAGCTACCCCATAGGTACTGGCTCTTGCATCCTTAGCTGGGCGTCGCCCCCCATGACGCGGGGTGCCCATCTCTGTAGTACCCACTGGTTCTGTGATGAAGCGAATCTGGACTCCATGGTCTACAGGGCTCCGAGGCTCAGCCATGGTGAATGCCTGCTCCATGGGCAGGAGGGGTCCTAGAAGATGAAGAAAAGAGTGTAAGCTGAGGGACTGGAAGCAGAAACCCAGAAACCTCCCCTACCCAGCTTTTGTGATTGTATTGTCAGTTCCTTCTATGTAAAATAGTCATTCTCACACTTGATCTGAGCAGCAGAAGCATCCCAAAGGCCTATGAAAACAGACTACTGGACCCACCCCCAGAGTTTTGATTTAGTAGGTCTGCAGTGAGGCCATTTTTCAGAAATGGAAATCCTCCAGCTTCCAGGTGGTGCTGATGCTACTGGTCCAGGGACCACACTTTGAGACTCAGTGACCCAGAAGAATCCATTTCCTCTGATACAGATTCAGGAGCTTGGCTTTGTGAAGAGTTTAAAGATTTTGCTTGATCTTCACACATACACATGCACTACCACGGGCCTCCCCCACCCCGGTGAAGGCAGAACCCAAGCCCTGCCTAACAGACACCTCCATCCCAATGGACCAATGGGGCTGCACTCCCACAGCTCATTTCAAATACAGGTATTCCATCCCATTTCTGGGAGAATACTTAAGCTGATGGCAGTGATGCATCTGGATTGGAGGAACTGAGAGCTAGGGACAGGGATGGGGAAGTGACTGGCTTTCTATTCTGTATCTTTTTGTTCCTTTTGAATTTGGAACCTTGCAAATGTGTTGCCTATTCAAGAAAAAGATGTAAATAACGTGTAAGAGTGCCAGTCCAAGGGCCCCAGGAGGGCAGACTTGTGCCACCTCACCTGAGGGCCAAAGCCAGGAGCACCCACAGACCAGCTCCCCAGTCCACATTGCCCAAGCTCAGAGTCAGCAAATGGAATGTATTGCAGGTGTGCTCTGGCTCCCGAAACTTGGGGAGGAGCAGTTCTCCAAGCTTCTGCTAATCTCCACCAGAGCCTCACATCAAACTGGAGGAGGATCCTCTAATGTGCCAGACAGAAACACGAACATACCCAGCTGAACCTCCCTGTGGAGCTCTGGGCCAAGGAAACTTAGCAGGGACCCTTTCAGGGATTCTAGAAGCACTAGGGAGCCCAGGAAATTGGTGAGAGGAGGTGGGGCCAAGCTCCAGGTGAGAAAGGGCTTGGTGGGAGAGTTTCCTGAAGAAGGAAGAACATTCCTAGCATTCCAGGTCCTTCCTCTCCAGAAGGAACAGGGAGGAAGGAGCCCCTTATTGGGAAAAGAAAAAAATCTCAACACCTTTTTCTGTGCTGAGGCTCCTTTAGAGCACATAATGAAAGCAAAGCCCCCTCCCACCAGGAGACAGCCCTCCCAAACTTTACCACAGAATCTCAAGAGGTTCAAATGAACACCTTAAAGCCCACCAATGAGCCCAAAGACCCCTGTCTTCCACTATTGGGCCACTGGGAAAGACCTTAACCAATCTCTGACTCAGATACCCTGAACAGCTGGCTATTTAGTTGGCAGGGACCTATGTTGGAATTCAAGTAAGGAATGGAACCAGAAAAGAAGCCACAAGGCAAAGGGGTAAGTTTTCCAAACCACTTATCCAGTAGACAAGGCACTGGACTAGAGTCAGAATCTGGCCTGGAATACTAGCTCTGCTCTTCACCTGATGTATATAACCTTGGGCAAATCACAACTTTTCCCAGCCTCAGTTTCCTCGTCTTTAAAATGGGTATAATGATAATACCTCACGTGGTAATTACCAATGAGAATTATACAATAATTACATGGGTGTATACAACTGTAAAAATTTATCATTATACACTCAATATTTTTGTACTTTATTTACTTCAGTTCTACTTTAATAAAAATGACAAGATATTAAACATGAATGCACCTCGCAATGTATGCTTGTCATGAAGCTGACATGTTACCCTGCACATGCGCTGCTCCTTCCAACAGGACCTTCCTAGCTTTACCTGGTTCACAGAAGGATGTCACTTCCTCAGAAGTCTTCCCCAACCACTCCTCCTCACAAACTAGGTCAGAACCATGCAATATGCTCTACAGTTATCTTTCAGTGAGTCCATCTCAGCTTATTTTATATATTTATCACAGTGATGACTTGTTTCTTGTCTCCCCCACTAGATTGTAAGCTCCTAGAGGGCAAAGGACCATGGCTCTCAGCTGACTCTTGTGTCCTCAGGACCTGGCACATGGTAGATGTGGATAAATACTTGCTAAAGGTTTATCTTGAACCAAGCAGCCTCACATAGAAGTGGGATTTACCCAAAGATTCCTCATAGCCATTTCTCATCTGCCCTAGTAACAAGATCTCTTCCTGGCCTGGACTCCTTGCCCGACTCTGTCATAATTTTGGAACCAGATGTGCCTAGACTGCCAGCTCTCAGAAGTCACATTATTTATTCATGATGCAGCTCTACCCTGCCAGTACCTTTACTGATCTTCAAGATCCAGGTCAAGAAGTTCCCAGTCTTGGCTCAGCAGAGCGCACAGCCCCTTGCTCACCCAAGAGCACCAAGTTGTTCAGAGGCAGCCTCCAATGCACCCCCCCCAGGTCTGGGTGACTTTCTAACCTCAAACACCTTCAGTCCCACGATGTGTGGGTCAGGGGCCAGGAGGGCGGAAGCAATCTTCAGGATGGGTCAGAAGGCTCTAAATGATTCAACAAGGAAAACCCGAAACCTATCCGCCTTCAGTTACGGAGGACAGCGGGGCGGGGCCAGGGAGCAGGGCAGCTCCAAGGCCTTGCGCAAGCCCCAGAGGCAGGTAAACAGTGATATAGCGCCAGGCAACATGGAGTCCAGAGCCTTCACTTTCACCAGATGCCTGATCCTGCTTTTCTCTCCCCTGGCATGTGCCCAAGGCGCTCCTCACCAACTGTACCCTGGGAAGAGACCAGGCCGCAAGTAAATTCAGCTTTATCTGTCTGCCTCTGCCATTCCTGTCTGCAAGGAGGGGAAGGACACTGCACTGGTACCAAACAGCCACTTGTCCCTGAGTTACTCATTAGCCTGCCCTTCCCCAATTCCATCACCTCTGGCCCAGCCATAGAGTCTGGCTCCCAAGGAGGAGTGACAGGGTCTCTGCACTACTGGCAGGAAGTGGGGGTGGGGTGGTTTGGGGTGTGCAAAAGAACTGATAACCAGGGCTGGGGAATATGCTAGATGCTACATAATTGGCATATTTAGAAAAAGGGAGAACTGGAATAGAGTTTAGACTCCCCTCAGAGGTAACAAGGAAAGCACATGATCAAAATAGAAAAGGACAGCTTAGTGACCTTGACCATTCAGCTCCTATTTTCTCATAGTCACAGAGATAAGAAGGCTCTCTGTGGATCCAAAAAGAACCCCTCGAGTGGACTCCTGGCTCGGTCCACTGAAAAAGCCGAAACCTGAGAGCCAGGCTAGAGCTGCTTGGCCAGTGGGGGAAAAAACACAATGAGGAACTGGGCCCCTGCAAACTGGCTGGACTGGTTTGAGAGGCAAGGGGTAGGGGAGGGCCAGAGAGACTCCACTGGCAGCTAGTAGAGCAGACCTGAGATATTCCACACCACAGAGGAGGCAGAGGGGCAAAACCATGGGCAGCGACTCTGTCTAGCCTACATGCCAAGGCCACAGCTCTGAAGGAAGAGGCAGAAGGTAGGGAGGGAACAGGCGGGAGGAGCAGATGCACAAAGAACCTAGTGAATGACAGGCCAGTGTGCGGCAGGAAGACTTTTCCTCTCTGTACTCCTCCCTCTCAAGTCCCCAAAGATGCATTCCTGATCCCACACTTACCTTGGCTACCTCCCTGGACCTTAGTTCTCCCCTCCCCCGCACAGCGAACCGAGCCCTACCTCCTTCTCACCTCCCATAGAGGTGAAGGCATGCAGGTCAGCCTGGGGAAAGCAGGAAGGGTTCTAGGAAGCCAGAATCCTCTCAGGGTGAGGCAAATCTCTGGATTATCAGTTCCCTAGTGCCAGCCCCCCACTCCCAAATATTTAAGATGAAAGAAGAGGTGCAGAGACACGTGTAGGCAGCCTGTCCACAACATAGTGGTTGCTAATTATTTCCCAATTACAACTTTCCTCAGGCAGGACATCAAAGGGGCCAAGCTAAGGCTGGCTTTGGTTCCCTTACCTGCCTTAGGCAAGGGAATCTGCCTCAGAAGTCTTCGTCCGGGACCCAGAGTGCACCTCTCATCCACCTGGAGACTTGGAGGTGCTAACTCCCCTAGTCCTGTGGTCTCCTGAAGAGTCCTGTCTATTTCCTACATCACTAATGCCTAACTGCCAGTCTGGTCTGGAAGTCACTAATCCAACATCACTAATACCTACACCATCATGGTCTGGGAGTCAGGGATGCCCAGTGTGGTTTCAGGGAGTAATGGGAATCTTCTGAGAGGCATCAAGGAAATTGGTTAGGCTTCCAAGCATCACCCCATGGCCCCATCTAAAAGCATAGAAGAATGCCCTGGCTGGTTTGGCTCGACAGTTGGAGCATCAGCCCGCAGACTGAGGGGTCCTGGGTTCGATTCCAGCCCAGGGCATGTACCTAGGTTGCAGGCTCGATCCCCGGGCCCCATTAGGGTGCATGCAAGAGGCAACCAATTGATGTGTCTCTCTCACATCGAGGTTTCTCTCTCTCTCTTTCTCTCTCCCTTCCACTCTCTCTGAAAAAGCAATGGAGAGAATGCCCTCAGGTGAGGATTAAAAAAATAATAATAGAATAAAATAAATAGAAGCACAGAAGAAAGCACCTGTGCTCAGGGGAAGGGCTTGATTTGCCCCCAGAAAGAGGCTCATTATAAAGAAATAGTTCTAGATATTGCATAGGCCTAAGAACCTCGTTTCCTAGAAGCCCTCCCTGGGAGAGCATTCTTTCACGGGGCAGAAGGAAAAATTCTCCCTGGCATGGAAGCAAAGAGGACAGAAACTGAAAGCCTTAAATAGTTTCACACTTAGCAAAGGGATTCTGCGCCCCCTTCTTCTGCCCCTCAGTGTCGCTTATTCGCATCTGTCTTCACCTGTGGGTGAATGGTCAGAGAAAGTCCACACCTCAGAGCCACTTCAGAGCCAGAGAGGCGTCAGCAGCAG